ACTGTCAGAGGAAACGTGTTACTGCTATGTAACAAAAGTGTTACTGTCAGGGGAGGTAGGTCATTCGCACATCCTCTGCAAAAAGCCTGAGTCAGCAGTGTCTGAACTGAGATCTGACACATGAGTCTTTTCCAAAGTCACCTAACACTCCCAGGCTAAGCAATTTTGATAATACTACTAATCCTCTTTCCAAAAGATTCACGGTGTCCTACACAACATTAAACCTATCCTGAAAAAAGTGAAAATACAACAGTCAAATATCGTATGTCTTCTCCCAATCTCTATGTTGATATAATTTCCTCTGTAGAAAATTAATCCTTTCTGCCATTCCTAAGGGTCATGGCCGGAAGACACTGGCCTGCGTACTAGGGTGTTTCCATAACGAATGGCTGAATTACAGAGAAGCTTATTTTCGAGTTTTATAAAGAAGAAATCAACTTCCATGAATGATGTTTTCATTGCTGGGCAGAGAGCTGACTAAAATAAGGCTCCACTGGAGGTTGACCTCAAACATTTTTAAAGTCTCCTTTAATCTTTTCAAGCTTGAAAGTCTAGGTAAAAGCACAGAAGAACTGAGACAGAATGCCATGAACTAGCTCACAAATCAGCTGGAGCAAAATGAAGGGGATGAGCGTGACCTGAAAGTGGAGGATGTCTCCATGTAGATTGTGTGTTCAGTTTTAGGTATTATGTGACCTGTGGTCCATTCATGCAGATGTTTAAGGGGGCAGAATGTCACCACCAGGTAAAAGACCCAAGAGGACAATACACAGGTTCACTGTTCCACATGCCTACTCTTGATGATGTTTCTAGCCCAGCGTCTGATCCTGAGGATGTTTCTTATAATGCAGTGTAATCCTAGCTGATTGAAGACGTATTAAAGCTCAAGAAGCTTCCTGCATGCCCGTGTGCTGGTGGTGATACACAACAGCTGAACATCAGAGTACAGTATTGGTTATTCACCTGTGGCCTCATTCAAAGTAAGAAGGAAGTGTCTGTGGCTTTTGAGGCAGACGTGATGTAGAGTTCCAGTCCTCCTCAAAAAATCCTCTGTCTTCAATATGGGTCAAGAAGTCATTGTCGAGAATATTGAACCGCTATGGTTTCTTAATGAACTAGGGAAACTCCATGTAATTACGCTTTAAAAGTTTATCGGTGAGGTCAATGCTAGGATAGACGTTTAACTGTTGGGAAGGCACCGGGGAGAAAATATGATTTGTGACCAATTTCAAAATTATTTTTTGAATTGATTATGCTCACAAAAACAATGCAGAGGGTACTTGTAGAAGTTCAGAGGTCTTTGGTAGTTTTTAATTAAAATAAAAGCAGAGCAGGTATGTTTTCTTGTAAGAATTTTGTCTTTTAAACAGCTTTACTAGCCTTAAACCTTAAAAATATCATTAAACCTAGAAAAAGTCATAAAATTAAAAGGAAAATTACTTTTCCCCCCCAACCATCTTCTCCCTCCACCCCCCATCTGAGCTTGAAGAGGCCTTTTTGGGGGTTCGTTTTTGTTTGTTTCTTTCCAAGACAACATTTTTTAATAAAGAAAACTTGGTACTATCATGTGTCATAAGAGATCAGTATTTCAGGCACGAAGAGAAATTACTGAATTACCAGTTCCCATACCATTTTCTAGAATACTTAACATAGGAAACAATTAGTGAGAAAGGCTGCTCTTTTATGACACATTCTTCAGACTCATTTTTTTCCACTTTATTCTTTCTCCCCAAAAATATGACCCACCAGTGATGGTTTCAGCCAGGGTACCACATTTTAAATTAAATGCAGCTTTCCTTCCATTGATCTTTTTTGCTGGCTCTACAGTTCAGAGCAGCCTGTTTGGGGATGGGTGTCTAAGCAAGCAATTTCCCTGAGGTTCACCTTCAGTGCTGGCTCAAGACCTTATTTTTCAGAAGTTTATTGTATTTCCTCCTCAAACAAGAAGAAAGAAGCAATTCTTCCACAACTATAGCAGAAAACCTTCCAATTCCTTCCTCCCTCTCTGGACTTTAGCTGAGGACTGGTATAAGATCCAGTGGCAATGCAGGGTTTTAGCCCCATCTTTATGTAGGATGTAATGCTGGATGTGTATCTCCCATCCAGGGTGTGGTGAGCTAGTCAAAAGAGGTGATAGCAGTGACTAGTCACATCCTTGTTCAACGCAATCTCATAACAGAAACAGCAGACCCCGAAAACAGGAGGTATATCTCCACTTCCAGAGAAATTCTCTGGACACATTACAGGGGATAACTGCAGCCACGACTGTGGCTATACCATAACTCAGTGGTACATCCAGGGCCAGCAGTCACCTGGTGGAAGATGGCTGGGAAGAAGTCAGGAGTGGACTGATGTGCACAGGAACCATATAGTCTGCTAAAATTAGCGTCCAGCAAGATTTTGAATGTTCATTTTTGGGCTGGACCATAAAACAAACTAGAGGGATGGAAGATAGGTTGTTAATAACTCACAGCTTCAAACAAAAGGTTAAACAATGCAAAAGCTTTAGGAATGTCATAAAAAGGAAATTTGTGAAATAGGAATTAATGAACTTACAATATGCATTTCAGCATATCAGTGTCTGGAAAATAAGTGAATACCAGAGGTAGCGAGGTAAACTAAACAACTGAAACAAAGCTTTTTTAAAGCCTCAGGAGCAGGTCATCATGGCACAGCCAAAAAGTAATATGACTGGGAGAGGCAGCTGACAACAGAGACGGGAGAAAGAGCGCCTTATCAAGTCTAACTAAATGTTTTATATGAAAATAGGTATGTCCCAGTGTAGGATTTCCAATACTAGAGAAGACAGACAGAAGAGATCCTGTAATGACTGCATAAAAGAGGGTAGAAGAAAGAATCAGCATCTAATTCCTCATCCCTCCACCTGATGTTGTCTAAATATCCATCAGGATGTGTGGGAAGCTTGGGACCAGGTGGGCTCCTTGCTGTGGTTTGAACAGATGTGAGTGGCACAGCACCTACTTACCCAAGTCATGAACTCTTTCCATGGGATTGGAGCCACAAGAAGAGGTCGGGCAAGCTGGATCCACGTCTAACAACAGTAAGTGACCAAAGGGATGGAGAGGTGGGATCTGCCAGAAGGGCAGGAGGACAGGGTGTCTGGACCAGGGAGGGTCTGAATGCCCATTCACAGCTTTTGTTCTGGGTTTGGGACTTCTGTTCTGCTGGATGAGCTGGTGGAGAAGTCCCTCAGTTAGAAGCAGACTTTGTTCATCAGACTGTGTTTAACACCTGGAGTTTACAGGAATGCACTTCTGGGGAAGCCAATCCTTCAAAACAGCCTTTCTGTCTGGATTTCTCCGTTTGGTCTTTAATATCTATCTTTTGGCTAAGTATAACTCAGCCTCCCATCTTCTCGTTAACCTGCTCCCCCACTGGGCCTATTAACCTGGCAAACGAAAAATTTATGGAAAAGAGCTTGTAAACATGTTCTTGAATAGCTTTGTGGTACATTTGGGGTGTGAAATAGGTCATTGACATTCTGGATCCAGACTTGCTTTCTGTTACCTGCTGCAGTCAGGATGCAGTTGGAGGCTGGGTGTGGGAATGGGTACCTGGGAGGGGCATGGAAAGGGATGTGGTGATGGTGGCTCCAGGGTGACGGGATGCATCTTCAAGGGCACAGAGCTGTGCAGAGCTGATGTGGCAAGTATTTGAGGGCAACTGAGACAGGACTGAAGCATGAAGAGATGAATTCATGCTTCAGATGCATCAGGGGAGGCTAAAGTGTAGACCTGATGCCAACCAGCCTTGAACTGCTTCCTTTCAGGTGTAAGGAAAAGGGCTGGGCATTTCAGCCTGCGGGATAAGGCTGATTATGGCTCTGTCCTGAGAACCACAGCCACAAGGGGTGAAGCCCAGCGCCAGGGATTCCCCTGTTCACTCTCAGAGGCAGAGCTGGAACCCTGGTTTTCCAGGTCCGATTTCTCACATTTGTCACCTGTGTGCCTTGTGGGTGTTAGACAACCAGGACTCTGCCTTTGTACTGGTTACTATGTCCTCCTGCACTACCATCTACAGCTGGGTTGCACATAACTCTCTAAAGAGAGCATGGTTTCCCTTTAGCACCCTGAATAATACTTCAGACTGAAGGTGCAGCACTACTTTTACATTAGCTGAAGAGGGTCAGGAACATGGAAATCACCTAGATAAATAAGTACATGACCACAGTTCTGGTCATTACACCCAGTTACAGCCTGGAATATGAATACTTTTTTGGAAAATGGGAGTTTGGAGGTCAAGGATGTGATAAAAGGCAGTGTTGGTCCTACATAGTTTCCAGTCTTTCAGAAAGGATTGCACATGGGCAGATGGCTGGTGACTCCAGTGGGCCACTGGGTGGGATAGGTATTTGCAGGGTTGGAACCATATGTGGTCAGTGCTTTGGGTCTGGTTCGGTCTCCGACCACTTCTGTATACCAGTCAGCAGCAGTGGAGCACCATTCTTTTACCACAGAAGATGAATAAAAATTTATGTAAGTTGCATTATCAAATTGCCAATCCAATTAGAGTGTTATAACCAGGACAGAAGGCACAAACCCATAACTTTCTCAAGCATTTTTATGCAAAAAGAATTCAGGATTTCTGCCCCAGTAAAAGCCCCTGCTTTGCCCTGCATTAAAATTTGGTTTATTTTGTAAGAAACTAAAGATTACAATGGCCTTGAAGTTGTATTTGTGGGTTTTGTAGTGGTTAGGTAGTTCTCAGAAGAGGATACTGGAAAGTAAGAGACTTGCTGATGTCATTTTTATTTCACCACCAGTACCCAAAAAAAAAAAAAGCTGAGAGATGTTGGTGGCCCTATATAAGGTGCACCTCACCTCCTGCAGAGCACATCAAGAATCACAGCAAAGGTAAGGCTTGCAGCCTTTGTGCCTCTATCACTTCGCCTTGCCCACTCTCCCTGAAGCTAACAATGTTCTCTCTCATCAGTGCTGTAGCTGCAACCTGCTAGGACCAACGACTTTGGATCGTGAGCCATGGCCTCCCTGCAGACCTTAACCAAGAACTTCTCAGGATGGGTCTTCTTCTGCTGCTGTTGCTGTCTTCCTCTTCTTCTCACCAGCCCTCTGCCTCCAAAAGGGGAAGGGGTGGCTTCTACTGCCCATCAAGCCTGCAGGCTCAGGAAGATCAACTTCCAGCAACCCTACATCAGGAATCGCACCTACACCTTGGCTAAAATGGTACAGTAATCCATGTGTCCTTCATGGCAGGATCTGAGGACCTCTTCCTCTGCCAGTGCCCTAGCTTCTCACCTTCAGCATTCCTCTCTCTTTCTCATGCCTTCCTCCAGAAAAAAACCGTGCATTTGCAGTAAGGCAGAGCTTGGGTGTGTGGAGTGGGGTCTGTTGCACACTGGGTGTGTGGCCAGGTGAAGCTGCTGCCTGTCCTCCTGCTCCCCAAGTGAAAAGCAGCCCCTGGCACAGCACAGCTCCTTCTCTCAAGCATCTGCTGCTAGACTGGGACAATTGTGAAACATGACTTTAAATTTCCCTGTTTGCCCAGTCTGTTTGGAGCTGGGCCTGCCCATGACTCCAGCCACAGCCAGGCAGCTCCTCAGGTATCTTACAGGTACCTTATCTTGGGCAGGCTTCTTGCCTGTTTTTACCATGGGTGGGTCCCCCCGGTGTACACCACAGAGTGCTGCAGCACCTCCCAGCAGCGCTGCGGGCCACCCTGAGGTCGGCCACCTGTGGCATCTGGTTTAGTCATCATAACCACTATGACACCTGACGTTTGAGAGGGGGACAGGAATACAGACTTCTGCTTATTTATTTTCCAGTGATACTAGCCTTGAATCTTACCCAATTGGACACAGTGTCCAAGCTTATCTACCTGTTACAGACTGCCTATGGTGTCTATTCCTTCATTTCACCTACACTATAATTGATGAAAAACTTAGGGTTTATTATTAATTTTTAGGTAAGGTTCCCATCCTCCCCACCTAACATTTCTTTTTTTTTTTTTTTTCCTCTCAGGCAAGGGTCTCAGACCAGGACACAGACAACAGGCTCATTGGGCAGCATCTCTATGTTAACATCAAGGTAAGACTTACACCAGGAGCCTGCTCTTTGCATCCTTCTGCAGTACTTGTCATTCTCTCGCCGTGATTTAATGTGATCTCTTACTTGCACACATAGGAAGACAACCGCTGCTACATGATGAAGAGGATTGTGGAGATCGTAGTGCAAGATGTCCTCCTCACTAAGGCTAAGGACCAGTACCCATATGTTGAGGAGGTGGCACAGTTCTTGGCATCCCTGACCTCAGAGCTGAGCAGATGTGTGAGTAGTGTTGGGTTTCTTTCCCTCCTCTGAGTTGTGACTCTCATTGCTGCTCCTGAATCTCAGAATGCTGCAAACAGTGGCAAAAGGCAGTGATATGAAAGGAAACCTCAGATCAAAGATATTGAACTCGAGGTTGATAAAAAGGTGTGAAAAAGAAAAAAACCCAACACATCGTTGCATACAGCTGCCAATGTTATGTCTGGATGTTTTCTTTTTTTAGAAATTCTCAGGACACAGAGAGCACATGGAAAAGAACCTGGAAGAAATGAAAAGCAAAATGAAGCAGGTACATTTTTTCTCAACATTTAAAAAGAGCAGTTCCAAACCCCAGTCATTTAGTTGGAGTAAGGCTGACCTAATTATGAAACAAACTCTGGAGATTATTTAGGAGGTGAAGCCTGCAGGGGCATTAAAGAGGGGGTTAGTAATGCTTTAACTTCCAGCCCTCCTTCACTTGTCCTGTTAACTCTCTGCACATGTTATGGTAATTTAAACCTTCAGGAGTCGGGCTGCAGGTAACTGTATGGGCTAGACTAGATTTAAATGAGCTAGTTTATATCTTATGGTATAATGACTCTAATAGAACTACTTGAGAGAATAAGGAGAGTAAGTTCTCAATTCAGTTTCTGTGACAAGCCTAATTTCAATTTTCTGAGAAATAACGAGATGCTAAAACATACATTCTGCTCTTTTCTAGTTGGGAGAGAATGGAAAGACTAAAGCCATTGGAGAACTGGATTTACTCTTTGACTACATGGAAAATGCCTGTACTGATGCCCCAAAGAAGGGAGGGAACAAGAAGAAAAACTGAGAGAATTTCAGATCAGGCTTGAAGGGATGTCTCTGAAAAACTCTTGCTATAACTTAACCTGATGAACTATTGCAGGAAAAAACCCACCCACCTGTAGATGCAGTATATTTTTCACTTGTGCCAAAAATAGCAAGCAAAGTGGGCACAGACAGGATGCACATTGCTGCCTTCTTTGCAAATGAAGACTTCAGGAGAGTGTTTGCAGCTTCATTTCAACGCAGGACATTAGTTATTTTCAAAGGCATGCTCCTGTCCTCCTCATCTCCATAGGAACAAGGCAACTGTTTCTGTATTTTATATGCTGAGATTTTACAGCTATGAAACAGCTTTGGTCAAGGAGGGCACTGATACATAGCCAGGATGTTTTGAGCCTTTTACTTGGAGATCTCTCTTGCATATATTGCCCCCTTCTGACCTTTACCTGAAAAGCTGTTATTTCAGACTCAGAAATAATTGTTGTCATTCATATTTAATGGTAACTTATTTTAAGGTAATAATTATATAGTACTTTTATTTATATAGATTAATTGAAAAATATCTAAGGAAATATATTTATGAAGCTGTACCCAGAGGGTTTTAAGTGAACTACAACATTAAAACTGCTATGTGATATTTATATGCAGATGGATTGTTTTACAAATGCTTACTCTTTAATTTATTATAATAAATATTTTGGTCCTCAAATATTGCCATTTACGGAGCTTTTCTCTTTTACTCAAACACAAGGGAGTTGACACATACTGTGCCTGTGGGGCTACTGGGCCAGTGGCTCTATTCTTGTATCCAGAAAGGATGCAAGCTCGGTCTGGGGACATGGGTCTTACTATAAGGCTGCAACTTCAACTTATCACAGGCCAGGGCTTAATGTGGAGCATGTGGGTCAGCCTTTCTTGTAGGGGGTGGTGGGAAAAATAGCATCACTCATGAGAATCATTGGTTTGATTCATTGATTCTGCCTCAGTATGTCCATAGACAAGATTCCATCTTAAATAGCTGCTGGTGAAATGTCCCAAACTGTCCCCCCGGGTCAGATGAGATGGTGACAGTCAGGCAGCTGTTGCTGTTGAAAACTCAGTGCGCTGCATCCTCACTGCCCCATAGGCATGCTGAGCACAAATGGTGCTCTGCAGCATCAGAGATTTGGGAGCATTTCAGAAGAGAAGTGCTTGGTGCCTACTCTCAATACAAGCTCACAGGCAGAAAAAAACCCAGTCACTGCGGAGCAGTTTAATCCATCATTATCATGTCCTTCAGCAATGTCCCCTGGGCAGTGACAGAGGAGTTGCTCTGGTGGCTGGAGATGAAAAGCATTCAAACAGTGAGAAAGCCAGAGGAAATATGTAATAGTGGATTGTCAGCAATTGGTGAAAACTTCTTGAGCAAGGCTTTACCATTTATTCCTCAGGGCAACAGGCATCCTGTCCGTATCTAAAAAAAAGCCCCAAAACACCATGAATGTCCTCAAGTGAAGGACTTGGGGTTGCAGTGCAGATGAGGGAGGTGAAGTTTTGCAAACACAGCATATCAGGAACATTCACACGCAAAAATGCTTGCTAAAAGGATATCTAGAAGACACCCCATGAAGAGATACTGTAATATGGAAAAAATGTTGGCAGGAAATCTACCTTGATATACCTTAGTAGCTTCATCAATTAAATTCAAGGAGAAATCAAAGTTAGTCCAAAAATAATTAGTCTCAACATGTTTTACATCAGCTGTTGAAATTAGATGGCACTGAAGTGGGATTAAACTATCTCGTGTTGCACCTGAACCAGAGTGATTTTGGGATAAAACCATCCATCCATACCTAACTTGAACAGGGTTTATGTGAACTGAAATGGTAACACTTTCTTGTGGGAATTTACACACCAGACTGGCATACAATCCATCTGGGTGATGGATGCCTGTTACTTGTCAAACTAGATGCAATCAACATAATTTACTCTGCTTCACACTCTCATTTGCATCTCATGACATATGAATTACATGCCTGTTCACAGTCAAGACAGAAGTGACCCAACAGTGACAGCAGGCCAAGCTTTGCTACCACATTACAGTGTTTGGGTTTAACCTTTTACTACATTCAATATGATATTTATTGTCTGTCTTGGGGGCTAAACAATGATGTTTTCAAGAGCTGTTGGCTGACATCCTTTCTCTTATCACTCAAACTTGTGACAGCTGACAGCAAAGAGATGGACGTTAAGCACCAAATGGGGAATTCATCTCACTGACTTTGGACAGACACAGTCTATCCTCAAGCTACACCCAGCTCACTTTATAGTCAATGGAGGCTAATAGGAATTATTCAGGTGTCATTCATCTGATCTACATTAGAGGTTTATAAAGATTGTGCCTTTGGACAGAATAACATGACTTTGCCCTAAAAGTACCTGTTTTCTTCCTTGATTATAAATAGAAACCAGACCATGAACCACATACACGCTGTTCCTCATTGATATCTCTTCACAACTGGATAATTAACTTATTTCCCTCTTCTAATTCCTTTAGGCCTCTTCCACATTGTCCTTGTTGAGCTGCCCTAACCAGAAATGTGAAATCAATCTCTCAAGATTTCTGCACTGGGGCTAAACCCAGATGAAAACCCATTTGTCCACAAAAATGCAAACCCAAAGGCAACTATTTATTAACTTCTCCAAACTTGAAAACCACCAGCTGGAAGACTCTACCATGAAAACCTCATGAGCTGGAGCCCTGGAAATGCCACACAGCAAATTTTGCAGAATTTCTTTCATAGGTTTTCTTGCAGGGCATGTGTGACTTGTGGGTGTGTGAAGGATGGCGGGTGATGGTCAGTTTTGAACAGACAAAGGAAGTAGAAGTTGGAGGAGGTTTCCCTTACAACCAGGGGAAATGTCTGGGACAAACAATTACTCAGCAAAAGAAAACAAAGACGTACTTTCAGTCAGACAAGCTGGGTTTCAATTCAGTCAATAGTATAGCTCAAAAAAGAGAAATCATGCTGAAGTGTTTTGTTCTGACATTTTCCAAATAAAATATTTTGGTTTTACACCTGAAAATAGTGTTTTGGTTTAGAATTTTATGTACATTTTCTTTCAAAGGTTGAAAAGATATTTGAAAACAAAACAAGCTGTTTCATTTTGAGTTGGACAAGCACGTTGGGCTGACCCAAAATGAATTTTTTTTGGTTTAATTTTTCGGTTGGGTCACCAAAGAGAAACTCTGTAGTTTACGCAATTCTAATTTCCGTTGCCCTATTTTCCTTTCCTCACTCCGCCTCCAAGTCATGGGCTATTTGTAATTCCTGTAGGTCCTTGACCTAGCATTGTTAAGGAAGGCACCTGCTCCACATCCTTCATTGAGGACACCTCCATTGGAGAGGCTGGAGGACCTCTTCCTCAGTAAAAATTAACAGAGCCACCTACTGCTAAATTGGCTTTTCGCTGGCTCTTCCTCCCCTTCGCTTACATTAGGTGACCAGAACAGGCACTCTTTTTGCTACACAAATAACTATAAAACATTTAAACCTCCTCTGAAACTTCATATTGGGAACCAAAGCATGAATAGAAATTTCCACATCCTGCTGAGTAAGTATTGATGACAGTTAAGAAATGTCTCTTAAATACTTCGCATGGTGTGTTACTCAGTTGTGAGATTTACATACTCAGTGTTTGAATATATACTCCTTAAGTGACCTAGAATAATAAAGGGTTGATATTTCCAATTTGCTGCTGGAAGTATATTCTAGAAAAAGCAAAGAGCTGAAGCTATCCTGATGGTAAACCATCGGCATGTGATTATGTTAGCCTGTGCTTTAAAGCACAATTAACTGCTTTGAAGAAGGTATGGACTGCATTGAACAACAATAAATATCTGATAACCTTTTCAGTCACAGCCATTGTCAGTAGCCAACGGATGTTTAGAAAATTGATGTAATCTGCAGCAGAAGTGGCCTGCTAATGTGAAGCAGGATTGGCAGAGACATTACAGTCAATCTCAGGCTTACAAATGATGCTGCCAAGTAATGAAAGGTAAAGAAGGTAATGACCATAGAAAGAAGGAAAACCTACGCTGCAGTTCTGTGCAACCCAGGGAACATTTGTCAGGCCACTACCAGATGATATGTTGCATAAAATAACATATTAATGATGGAAAGGAATGGAATCTCTCAGAGGATCCAGACCAGGATTCTTCACCATTCAAGAATTTGTTAGGAAGTCTTATTTGGGTGAGGTAAATCACAAAATACAGGCTATGCTAAGGCTGATGGCATTTCTGCGGCTACACATGCTTCTCAACACATATCCATTTGTAACACTTTTTTTCTTGGTTAATACACAGCTGCAGACCTTATCAGATGAGCTGTATGAATTTCACCACCAGCAAAAGTGTTAAACAACTATGTAAGTAAAAAGATTTCTTCGGAAGTGAGGGAAATCACTCTCTCTCTTTAACCTTTAAATTGCAAATCCCTGGCCAAATTCACAGCTATGCTATAATTTAATCTGGAATTCACTGATGAATGGTTTAGAAAACAAGATATTCCTACATGTTTCCTCCTCTAAGGAGAAATTTAAAAAAAATATTTTGAGAAGAACTGTCCATTTATCTTCAGCACATTAACTCATGAGACCCAAATGTAAACACTTTTTGAGTACGAAGGATTAAGGCACAGCATTAAATATTTCCATGATCAGGCCATTTTTCTTCTCTAGGATTGAATAAAGGGCAAATCTTCTAAACTAAAAATATTTTCTGTTTTGCTCAGGGCAACATGAACTGAAATGTTTTGAAAAAACATACTGAAAAATTTGTCTTTGACTAGCTTACTTGAAACTGTTGTATGGTTGTTTCTGCAAGAACCAGTAAGGTTCTTCAATGGAAATTGTAGCCCTAGTTTCAAATGACTGAATGCAAAATTATATTGTTTTCAAAACCTGCAAAATTGCACTGATTTAAAGTTTATTTTGTCCTATAGTTTTCCAAAAAAGGGTTGCTTCTGACTCCTACAGCACATT